CAGGGGTGGAAAAAAATTTATTTTCTGGGACTGCAATGAAAAGTGGGAAAATTTTCTGTGAGTTGTCGACACAAATCCTGTATAATTTAACTCTTTATTGTCCGGCGATAAATTTCATATTTTTCATTCAATTGCTTCCGATGTAAATATCTCAAAGAGTATTTACCCCCCTTTAAAACGGAAACCACCGTTGAAATCCTCATAAAATAAAATGCCGTTATAACATTACACAAACCAAAACAATTGTGTATTTTACTCACCGCTTTGCCAAATATTCTGTATTTCATATCCAGAAAATCTTGAATATTCTCTTTAACTCCTCGGAATTCCCCACAAGTCGATCTGAGTGAAATACTCCTTGTATTCAAGCGCTTTTGTGTGGAAAATTTCGTTTGAATACGGCCAGTAGAAATATATTTATTTCGATTTTTTCAAAATATCGGGTTTTTACCGGTTTTTACTCGCACGCGCCCGCCACACGCTAAAATTGGCCAATAAGGAGCACCCGATGCACATGCAAATCACGCTGCAGGTGTAAATTTGTATGTGTAATGTTTTGGCAGATCTAAAGTGTATTTCCAGTCGAACTGCCGTCGAAGCTCTCGCGTAAAATTTAGATATTTTGAAATTCCGAAATAAAAGATGCAAATTTGTTGATACAAGCTTGAAAATAACACTCTAAATAGTGTTTTGGAATGTGATTCGAACAAGACTATTATGAAAAAGTTTATCTGGAAAAGGGCCGAAGTTATGTTCGGCGAAAGGTATGCCGTTGTGATACATTTTATTACATTCCTACATTTTTCGGGAATATTGTGTAATCTAGTGAAATATGACACCGCTTGCCCTCTAAAGGTCGTAAATCGCTATAATGTTGACATTTTATTATATCTATCGATAGGAATTTTTTCACTGAATCGAATGGTGTTATTTTCATCTATATAGCATGCACTGAACCGAAAATATGAACCTGCAAAATACCAGGTTGGTTTCGACCTGGTTATTTCAGCACCAAACGAAAAAGAGTTAAATTAATTAAAGACTAACATTTTTTTATTTGCATATATTTAAGATGAAGTTCAATGTCAAAGTCAAGGTCATGAAAAGGGCCTTTTTAATTTTTTAAATGAAGGTCAAGGTCACCCAAAAAAAGGGGGCCTATTAACACCTTTTTATTTAAACATGAACTCCAATGTCAATTTCGTATTATTTACAACTATACATCCACTTAAAATGTCTGGGTTTCTTCTTCTAATACCTTGGACTCTGTTCCTCAACTGGTCCCTTGTGGCTGACGGAACAATGCACAGATGCCCAGTCTATGAATCCCTGTTCTCCAACACGCCTGCCTCACTAGTTCAAGCAGGATGTCATCATAGTCTTGTGGTGGTGGTCGCTGAGGAGGGTTAGGGTCATGCTGTGGTACCGTATGATTTGAATTTTCCAATTCTTCCTTAACAGTATTTAGATGCAGCTTTTCCTCTACAAACTGAATTTTCATTGCTGAATACATCAATATCAACCACTCTTGACCCAATGGATTTGTAGTTTTTTCCTACAATTAATACACCATATTAAATGCAATATTAATCTATACATTTTCAATATTTTTTTTCTGGTAAATTTGGTAAAAGCTGGGGAATTTATACTCTCGTCACCACTTTGGTCATTGCCGCCGATTGGCCGCAAATTTTTTTTGTTTGCCGACACAAATACAATACGCTATTGTAGTTAAAATCCCAAATGCGCTGCGAGGTAAAACTTTTCGAAACATTCTTTTATGCTTATATTATTAACTTGACGTTTAATAAACTTTTAGTAAATATTGTTTTTAAAACTATTTTGTAAACAACAGTGCTTTGACATATAAAGTTGAAATATTTTTAAAGGGTCTGCTCATTGTTTTGTTGCAAACATCATGTGGAAATTCCCACTCAGGTACATTAATGCCTGGGTCTCAGTTTGTGTATTTAGCGAAAATAGACAAAAAATCATAAAAAATAAGTATGGCCTTGATTATTACCATTCAAGTTTTATATGATTTATCAAAGGAGATTCTAAAAGTTGACCTACTTTTCGTTGTCATGGCAACAATCACGTGATGCATATTTCGAAAAACAACACAAAAAAATTATACGTTTTATTCCGAGGCTCTGCAGCAGTATATTTCGTGACTGAGAGGACGCAGAATTGCGATAATCATTCACACATAATATCACTGTTGATTGAACAAATCTGGAAAGTTTATATTTAGGCTTCGTTTCATTTTATGCGGCTATATTACGATGATCGGCATCAAACGAATGTTAATCGCGTCATTAAATGTTATCTACAAATAAATGTACGGTTTCCAAATTAATGCAGGAAACTTTGTTCCCTTGTTAATGTTTTTAGCTAATTAAAATAGCAAAATTTTGTCAAATTACCCTGCTGCAAGTTGAACGCGTTTTTCAGGTGATGAATTTCACGCGCCATAATGAAACAGTCTGCCGCTTATTGTAAGGGATATTATATTTCCAATAACAACATTCATTGCACATTCAAGCCGATATCTTCAAGCATAGTTAATGCCATGGTGGAAAAGACTGAGTGAACTATATGTGCTATAATTAATTTGTAATTCACAAGCATTTTTTCATTGAAAATAAGACACAATCAACAAATAATGCTGAATAATCGCAAGTTAGTGCACTATAAGAAGCTTTTATTTATCAGCAGTTCATACTCACACAAGGGGCGCATATTCTAGCAGACACATTACTGACAGATCGCGCGCACAAGATATCATCCAAGCGTGTGCAGACCCAGGCATTAGATAGCTTAAGATCGTCGACGTCAGCTAGGACATCAGGGCTATGCAGAGGACTGGGACTAGGATATCGTCCTAATGTAGTCCCAGTCCTCTGCTTAGCCCTGACATCCTAGCTGGCGTCGATGTCGTAGATCATAAGCGATCTATTAACATGCCTGAGCATGCATAGTGTGTGTGCTTGAGTTTGTCTGGTGTTCATGTTCCCTTGCATAACTGTCGGGAGCCTCCTTAAAAGATAAAGTTGTTTTTTTCAGTGCTATAACACTTATATTTCTGAATTACATTAGCCACACACATAGTCATTTAACGGTCATTCAATAACAAGTTTATAACAAATTCCATGAGTGATCAGTTTTAATGGTTGCTGTTTGGACAAGTGCAATTTGGAAAACTAAACGTTCTTATTAATTTGATTGTATGCCAACCCCCGGATTATGTGGGGGCTTTAATTGACCGTGTAACACTCATTTTATTAAGCCTCAATTTCCCAGTCAAAAAATGTTATACAATTGTGGAAATACCAAGATCACCAGGCCAGAAAGCTCCCCCCTTGCATGATATCCAAATAACCTACAAATACTATAATATGCAGTAAATTAAAAAACTCAGGTGCTGTCGAAGAATGTGTTCGTACTAGTTTACAAGCTCCATGAGGTTACAATCCCACTGACTGAGCTGCCTTTAAATAGCAATGTGTTCTAAAACCCTGAATTGGTTCCCATATAAATCCTGTTAAAACTAATCTATACCTCAAGGTGGGGGCACTTTCCATTTACTAATGCATTATGATGCACAAATCTATTCCGGCTACTTTAATAGACCAGAATCCTTGTTTGGTAGATTTTATTGTTATTCAGGTAGAGTTCATTGTGTTAGAGATCTAATAATAAAAAGGCAAAATAAATTGCGACTTAAATTATCTTACTAGTTACTAACTTGATTGATCAGACCTACTTTGAACACAGTAGGGTTGGGCGGTTCAGGGTAGAAACAGAAAACCGTCTGAAAAAACCCGAAAAACCAATGTTTTTTAATGACATTTCCTTATGAAAATTTAAAGAAACTTTCATAAAATAGTGGAAACACTGGGTAAAAAAATATGGCTGCCATTTCGGTTGCGAATTACGAATATTTCGGTCTTATTTTTGCTTTTACACACATCTGAAATAAGCCAGGGTACAGAATATGATCCACTTCTGATCCGCCTACTCAATGATTCTCTAATACTCTATACTTTGTGCGCTGTTTCAGCATGTTTCGTTTTTTTGTCAAAAGAAAAATCTATTGAATCGTGTTTTTTTTTTTAAATCTTTTTTGTTCAGTTTTATTGATAAACCGCCCGACCTTACAACACATGCTGTGTTGTATTTGTCATAAGCCAAGTTCTTTTTAAGACTAATTGCTGGTAAGATAAAATATCATAAATTTAACTCATTAAGCTGCAAGCTATTACAAGCAATATGGCGAATATGTGATTGAATTCAAGAGCTTTCACCAAAATGGCAATATATCGGAAACAGTTGCATGAAAAAATCTGGTCTTTTCAACCAAACATTAGTGATATATGATTGACCAATTTTAGTTTAAATGAACTTGCATGTACCTATATATATCATTAGTTTTTTCCAATGAGACTTTTTATTTGGAAAGCAGTGACACTTTGTTTTTCATGTCACTCATCACCTAAAGGGGCAATATCTCCATAAATTTATATAAAAACCAAAAAAAAAAATTTACCAAATTAATACATATGCAGGGGACGTGCAGTCATTTTTTTATTGGGGGGGTCCGGGGGCATGCTCCCCCGGGGAAATTTTGAAATCTGAGACCTCTCAGAGCCCCAGAAATGCAATAAAACCTGCTAGTTTCTCTTAAAAAGTTTCTTGAACGACTCTTAAGCAAGGCATTATATAAGAGTAAAATTTATTCGCTTAGTACATTTTCCTTGAATAGATTTTTCCGTCGAAATTTAATGCCTTATTTAAGCGTAATATAAATTGCATTTTCCATGCTTATCGTCCTTACTTTTCTCAGAAATGTTTTTCTGGAAAGTGCGAGCCTACTAGTACATAAGAAGAAAATAATAAATGGAAACAAACAAGGAATAACGTAACATTTTTAAAAAGTCTATGATAGTCCAAAGGAAATATAGTCCAAAAGTCTGACTAATTCTACTGGATTTCTTTAATTAAAGATTATTGTTGAGATTGTAACAGAGATCCTGCTCCGTAAATGAACCAAAGTTAGGTTTTCTGTTGTCATTCTTGGACACGAATACATTGGCTACGTCCAATAACCGTATATTGTCACCTCGTATTTTGTGGGTATTTAATATCGCCAGATGACTGAATCTCCTCTGTGACATATTTGCTCTAAGCCATGTTTTTATTCGTCGTGCGGTTGAAAATGATCTTTCACCAGTTGCGCTGGTTGCCGGATTAACCAATAGGAGTTTACATATGGTGAGTACTTCACTAATCATTTGCTGTGTATTGTGATCCAAATTTTTCACAGCGTCTAAGACCTCAGCAAAATATTCTAGTTTTTTCTCCTTCATTAATACTTTGAAAATTTCCAGTTGTGGGATAAGAAACTCTACTTTTATATCCTGATGGTAAACCTCCTTTACAAAGGCCATTTCATAAGAAATGTCTTCTGATTTCAAAGATTTTAGAAGAAGGGCTTCTAATTTTGCATAAGCTTTAAAACTGGGCTGGTCAAAACGTTCATTGATGGCCGATACAATCAGATCAAGAGCTTCATAGTAGATTTTTCTGTACAAATCTTCCGACGTTTCAGGGTACCAAGGTTCTCCTTCTCCCACTTCATATCTTGCAGGTGCCTTTCTCTTTCTTGGTACTCTGGGTTCCGAAATATCTTTCAAGGCCTCTTTCTTTTTCAAAATGGTTTGGAAGAAAGACTTGAAACATTCTTCATTTCGTACTCCCTTCAATACCTCGGTTGTCAGCTTGGTATTATGTTGGCCGGAAATCGATGACATATTTGCCTTTTGTAAAGTTGCTGACAAATTGTCCGTGTGCCTAAAAATCGTCACGCCAAGATGTAATCCAAAATAGAAGTCAAAAGACTCCATTTGGGTGCTACATCCTATAATTCGTCCACACATATCTGGTGGAAGTTTTGTCTTGAGGCACTCGTCCCACAGCTTTAAAATAATGTTATAATTATCAATTACTCTCCCAAAACAGATTGCTCAAACCGTCCACCTAGTTGCACTGAATTTTGTAAGTCCAGCAGCCGCCGCGTCTTCCTCCTCGTCCTCGTATTGAAGGTTTTCCTTCAGGTCTCCAAGTAAATTTTCTCGTTTGGGAGAATACTTTACGAGTTTAACAATCTCATTCGTATTATTCATGGTGTTAGATAAGATCTGGCAATTATTTGTTGCATCCTTTACACCTAAGCTCAGGGAGTGACTGTGACAATGTGTGGGTAGAGCCACACCAGTTTGTTTTGCCACACCAGATTTTTTACCAAGCATGTTGCTGGCACCATCATAGCACTGTCCCCTGCACTGGGACAAAGACAACTGGAGTCGAATGAGGCTATCTTTGATTGCCTGGACAATGGTTTCAGATGCGATGGTTTGGTATATTGTAAAATCCGAGAAAGTCTTCATGGCCATCAAGTTGTTCGTCTACCCACTGAAAACATAAAGTCAGTTGCTCCTTATTACCAATATCTGTGTATTCGTCAGCTATTATTTATGGAAAAGAATCCTGTTCCAATATCCTTTGAGGTCCCGTTGAACCTTGTGTGCCATAATTTCAGTGATTTCATTTTGTATATCATGGCTCGTATATTTATCACCGCCTCGTTTCTTAAGCAACTCGAGTAACGCAGGATCGTCCCGTCCCCGAAGTTTCATTAATTGGTAAAAGTTCGACTCAGTATCAGTGTCTCCTTGTATAGCTTGTCCTTGCCGGCATAAAGACTGCAAGTTTTCAATTATTTTCAATAAGCAGCGGCGATTGGTCTGTCTTAGTTTCTTGCTCTGCTCATTTGTCATATCAATAAAATTGCCAAATTAACTGCATAATCAATCGCCATCATGTGACATTCTGAAGATTCGTGTTGCTTGAATTTATCTAGGGACTTTTTTCAGTTACAAAACCCATCCGAGATAAACTTTTGATCTTTTTTACTAGCACACCTTAAGTTTCCCTGAGCGTTTTGCTGAGCACAATAAAAACAAAGGACCGAGTCAAGCTGTTAGCCACCTGAAAAGAACGATTCTGTCCAGAAAATTTCCTTTTAGAAAACTCAAAGCTTTTTGGTTGGTGAGGGTTCATATAGGATGATATATTTGTTTTCTTGCAATGGTCGACGTGTATTACTGCTTGTGGCTCATGTACTTTGGACAAAGTTGAGCTCACAACTGTTGGCACTCGATGGCGTTCTGGAGAAACCTGTGGACTGGCCGCGGCTTGGTAGCCTTGGTAGACATCACTTGTACGAGTTGGAGTTCTAGTTATTTGGGCGACAGACTGGGAGACGCAGGCCTGTGCAGGATCGTAGTAAATCGTTCTTTCATTTCCTGAAATGTTAGGATTTGGCACGTTTTTACAAATGATGTTGACACTAACATGCTGGAAGCAAGGTGTCGATAAAGCTGCTTTATGAAACCGCAACGCATGCATACAGTCATGAATACGCATTGCGTATACCTGACTGTATGTCATGGTAATACATATGTTTGGGTACCACTTAATACATGCTTGTATTTAGTCAAAATAAGATGTATACATACCACCTGGCGCAGCTGAAAAATAATCTGAAATGGTTTTAGCCTTCTTCCTCGCTGTCGTTTGCCTCTCCTTTGGCTCTTTTGAGCTTCCAGTTCCTTCCATATTTCCATAGATCATATGCGCTTCTTGATTTGTAATAATCGAAGGATTGTACAAACCTGGGTGACCAGAACTGTAGACAATTTGTCGCTTCAGATACTTGTCTCTGTATCTTGCAATATATATACAAACAGGAACTGAGTGTTCAATAACCTGTATCCTTTTCGTGAGAATTTTATTCGGAGGTAATTCAGGTTCCAAAGGCAAAGAATAATCAACCACAAGCAAACAGTAAGTTATAACGACGCTTAGCAGTTTTAACGCCAACATTTTGTTTGGAACCGAAGCAAAACACGTGTATTCACAGTGATATGGAATTTCACTTCTTAAGTGATATGGAATTTCAACAGTTATTTGAAACCTAGTGTGACACCTTGGATAATGCTATGATATGCTACGAATTTTAAATAAAGTGGTCAAATGCGATTAAAACCTCTTGACATTATTGCATCATCAAGGTTGAGACCTGTTGTTTGTAACTGCGCAGTTTTAGTTTGTTCAAGCACGTCCTTTGTTACTCTTTGTACACTGTATACTGTACAACGACAATTTCAAAATTAGATCGATCTTCCCTGGTTGGAAGTGCCCTCTGTAATTATGAAACACGCAAATCAGACATTTAATATTTTTCTGGACTACGCAAAGAAAAGTGCTATCCGTGCTATTTTAAAATCAGATATGTATGAAAAATTATTGGGGGGGGGGGCTAAAGCCCCCCAGCCCCCCCTGCTCCGCGGTCCCTGATATGTATATTATAACCAATTTTCATCTATTGGGGATATGAATTAGAAAATTATCAAAAATTATAAAATATACTCCTTTGCTTTTTTTGGACAAGATGTTTACAACATGAAATTTAGAACAGTAACTAAGTGTTCAAATTCAACAAAACGTGCAAGCCAAAACACAGTGCTTGTACATTTTTAAAGTTTTTAATTACTTCAAATATATTTAAAAGGATACATGGTACTAGAATCTATCTAATACATGAAATACACAAGTCATTTAATTTTCTGCCTTCAGTGAGATTTTAATAAAATACAAAACAAGTGAAACTCCAAAAATCGATAACATTTTTTTTTATCTATGTTTCGACTATATTTCAGTCATCATCAGGATAAACTAGCTAGGTTATATATCAAAAGCGGTATTTATATGAAGAAATATGATACAATAGTTAGGTTGATTATTAACGAATTAATGAAATATGATTAGTTCTTTAGAAGCTTTAAGTCCATGATTAAGTTCAGGTTTATATCTTTGAATAGCGAGGGATTCTTGATATAGTAAAAGGGACCAATGGTTAGATTTATCAATTATTTTAGTGTTGTTGAAAACATGTTCAGCCATTATACTGGTTTGATCAGACTTTGCGTCATCGTCGGGATAAAGTTCTAAAAGGGCTTTAATATGTTGAAACTGTTCGCAAGTAGAGAGGTGTTGATGGATTACAGATTCTGTGTGATATGAATGTTCCTTAGTTCTGGTGTATAAGCAGCGATCAGTTTTGCCGATGTACCTACTATTACATCCAGGGCAAGTAAATTCATAAACTACAGAGCTTTGATAAGTTTTCGGGGTTTTATCTTTGCATGACACAAATACGTTGCTGTTAATGGTTTTCCAGTTAATAATGAATCGGCATTTTAATATGAGGAGAGGGGTTATTTTGCGTATCAACGAACGAGTTAGTCTTTCACCAAATTTGCCAAGATAGGGTAGCTGTAACCAGATATTAGGAGTTTTGTTTGATTCAGTCATTGTGGCTTCGTTGTCGTTGACATTAGATACTGGTGGTGATGGTTTAAATTGGTTAATAAGTTTTTGGGTTAATTTGCGAGGGAAACCATTCCAAGACATGAAATTTTGGATTTGTTTTAATTCGTTGTTCAGGAGAGTGGCATTACTGCAGATTTTGTAGGCGCGATTTACGAGAGCACGGATCCAAGCAATTTTTCTTGACCAGGGTGTGAAGCTTGATATATGGGAGTATTGACCAGTATGAGTGGGCTTTCTATAGACAGAAGTTCCAGAGGGGTGGATGTGGATGTCAAGGAAATGGATGTCATTGTCGCTAAATTCGTCAGCGGTGAATTGTAAGTTAGGATGGAAAGAGTTAAACTTAGTAAGAATTAATTGTACGTCAGATGGTTTCACAAGAATAAGGGTGTCATCAACATAACGTTTGTAAAATCTTATTAGTCCTGAATTAATGAGAGGTTTAACAATTTCTTGTTCAAATTGCGTCATGATTATGTTAGCTAATGTTGGACCTAAGGGTGAACCCATAGAAACCCTGTCGATTTGTTTATAAAGATGTCCGTTAAGTGAAAAGATTGTTTTGGTACATGAGTCTAGTATTAGTTTCTTTAGTGTTCGTTTAGTTAACTTCGTCGATATTAGCTTATCATCATAGATGCGTTTTAATATTATGTTAACAGTTTTGTGGAGTGGGATATTAGTAAATAGGGATTTTACGTCAAAAGAAACAAACTTGTATCCGTCATTAAATAGGTTAGGAGGAATATTATTAATCTCATGTACCGCATCAAAGCTATCTCGTATTGTAAATTCATTAATTATCAAAGGATTTAGTAATTGTGTAATAAACTTAGCAGTTGGTTGGTAAGCAGTGCCGGTTGTATCAATTATAGGTCGAAAGGGAGGAAGTGTATCAAACGTTTTATGTATTTTTGGTAACCCGTGAGCTCTTGCTGGTTTAGTTGAAGTAGGTCTCATACTTTCATATTCAACTTGTGTGATTTCGTTGCGATTATAGATAGTACGTAGATAGTTTTGAAGAGTTGTTAGTTGGGTCAGTGTTGTGTCCTGAGTTACTTTTTTAAATTTAGTAGTGTCAGAAAAAAGATCAGTCATACATGATTTGTAGTCATCTTTCGTGATTAGTACAATTCCGTTTCCTTTGTCAGGTCTTAAAATTGCGTATTTCAAGTTAAGTTGTTTGAGTAATTTGATACGTTTGTGGTCTGTGTTAAGTTGTTTATCGTCAAAGGTTAAGAGGTTACAGGCGAAAGCTTTAATAGAATTTTTGATTTTTTGTCGCTTGAGAAAGGTATGTGGAAGAGCATTGTGTCGTTCAAGTTGGTCCCAGATAGATTCAGCTGTAGCTATAATTTGCGTTTCACTTGGTCTTGTAGCTAAGTTGTTTCAGCCCAAATCTCAGGATGGATGCTTCTTCGGTGGTCAGTTCATCGCCAACCTCGTACCCAGGGTCTTTCTTATGGAAAGACCCTGGCGAACGCTGGTCACGTGTCTCCCATAATATGGGAGATGGAAATTTTGTCTTACTATGGAGTGGAGGCTTCGTACAATATTCCCAGGTGAGCGTAAACAGAGTTATTTACATTGTATATCCAAAGCCAACGATCTAATTTATTGAAAAGTTTACAATTTCCATCTCCCATATTATGGGAGACACGTGACCAGCGTTCGCCAGGGTCTTTCCATAAGAAAGACCCTGGGTACGAGGTTGGTTCATCGCCTGTCAGGTTAGTTATTATTTCATTAGGATTATTCAAACTTATCAAAGCTCTGTAGTATATGAATTTACTTGCCCTGGATGTAATAGTAGGTACATCGGCAAAACTGATCGCTGCTTATACACCAGAACTAAG